AGGCAGTCGAGTGGCCCCGTCGCATTTTGTACTAGCACGCACGCAGAAAATTTAAACAAGCTTAATCGATGAATTGCCAAATATTGTATCATAATAATTTCTTGTATTTACGCGATTACACATTATAAATGAAACTAATTTTACGGATTTATCGCGTTTATTTTTAATTTTAATTCCTGACGTTTCGAACCCTTTACAGCGTTCATGGTCACGGGACAAACTCCCTCGTTTGGGAATTAAAATTAAAAATAAACGCGATAAATCCGTAAAATTAGTTTCATTTAAAATATTGTATCGTCAGTTGTCTATTATACTCTCATTTAATAGTCTCGTTTAGTTTTCCATTAAACTCTCATTTAAGAATCTCTTTGAGAACTCTTTGAGAGGAGAGCGTTGTGTAAACAAGGCGTTTTCCGGATTTCTCATCGCCGCGCCCCCTACAATTCCAGCGGCTCTGTTGAACCCCGACACGTTGGCTGTCGTAATCACGTAGTCCTTTGTCAGCGCGAGCCGCCGAATGGCCATTCGGAAAACAATTGTTACGCTGAAACGCCAGACTGAAACTGCGCCCGCATTAGAATTTGAAAAGCCCGGATTACGCAACGAGGTTTCGTTAGAATTTAATTATGGCCGCTGCGAAGCGTTCCGTGGCATTTTACCCACTCACGTGGTTAATTTGCAAAGCGTTCACGGTGCAACTGCTCCTCTGGTGTTTTTTGTTATGTAAACAGTTTAGCGGTTTCTGTTTGCGATTTATTTGCATTTGAACTTGTATCGTCACGCAATGAAACGTCCTCAGATAATATATTACTTAATTTATCACATGAACTCTATTACATAATTATTGTTACGCTTTATTCTGGACAAAGAGTAAGATATAAATAAATTGACATATATTTCAGGACATTACACAACGTTATCTAGTCCCAAAGTAAGGAAATCTTGTACTATGATTACTAGGTAAAACACATACTTCCTTTTGTTAGTAATAAATGTTAATAGTAATCTGCCGGTGATGGGCAGCATAATCTAGGCAAGTCTCACAAAGACAGACGTGAAGTGGACATACAATAATTTCAACTTTCACTACCACTGTGTCAATTTTATATTGACTTTAGCCACTGTTGCTGGTCATTGACAATCAATCAAAACCAAAACCAGATAATATATGATCGACATTTACGAATTCGCCATCATCATTATCATCATCAACTGTAAGGCGTGTAATGAGACTTTTCCATTTCCATTCACTTCCACGAATCTTGTAATGTCTTCGATTAAACTAGTGGGAGGTGTTTTTCCTATACGCCTTCTGATTCGTGTGCCACACAGGAGAAAAATCTCTTTGTATTATTAAATATAGAGAGTCATAGCTCATAGTATGACTCTGATGATGAGACAGGGAAACAATATTTCTTCAAAATTGTTCACTATAGTCGCTGGAGGACCTTGACAAGACGTAAGCTCGGTGACCTTAGTATGGTCTTTCAACTGAGTTAAAAAGAACACGTGCAAAACGAAATGTCGATGCTGACGTCTGACAATTCTCAATGTTGCACCCGTGTACGTGTGTAGTAATATTTGTAAAGATACTCATCAAGTCTTTGATCACTATGTCCACCTTTCAACAACTTTCCAGTTAGTTATTTTCAACCATGTCTAAGAGGTCGCTTTAAAGATACACAACGTTCGGGATTTTACAAGATATCTTCTTGTCCCTAATTCCGATGGGGTTGAAGGCCAAGTTTTTACCAGTGTGTGCAGCCAGTGATAACTTATGTAACTAATTAAAAACAAGCGTTAATTCTAAAAAAAAAAAATACTTCTATTTATTTCGCCAATACTTACGAGTAAGCCTATAAAGTTATGTTAAAAGTAAATTTTTGGAATATCTATAAAAGTAACCATACCTATTTCTAACAAATTTGACGATGTTGTATGTATATATATGTACATATAACCAATATTTACATGGTATATAACATTTACTAATATTGAATAATGTAACGTTTCCAATGATGAATAAGTTTTTCAAAAAGATGCAGTAAATACAGATATTACCGTGAACTCAAAAGACTCATTTTATATCAAAACAATGGTTGTGTAATTATTGTTTATTTACCATCTGTTATAACGTAATTAACAAAATAAAACCATATAAAACACGCTACATAAACGGCCCTCAATAAAAAGAGAAAAAGTTTTCATTATCTATTGTAAAAATTACGTTGCATATTATCGCTGCCTAATCTAATTGACGATTTCCTTCCCCACGCATATCCCATATCACACATCACTACACGGACAGACAAACTAAACCGGTTATACGAGGATGCGTCATCGAAAAAAAAAAAAGCCAAATTTAATCTCGTCTCCCATCGCTAGGTTGACAGTAAACAGCCGACGAGTAGTTTACTTTTTTCATTAGGCCCACCGCGGTTAATTAAATCAATTGATTAGAGTTTTTCGAGGCAGGGGAAGTGACGCATCCGCGGGGGACGCATTATTGGAGAGCGGAAGCGTGGCGCCCGGGCCATAGCGCGTGGAGCCCTGACCGTTAGAGCGCTCCTATTTATAACAAGGGAAGGGGCGGGCGGTTGTCGTGCGCTGGTGCCGTTTTGTTACTTTGCATAGAAAGCATGGTTTTACCTTTCTTTGAGATTTTTACGACTCCCGTACTCAGTGTGTGAACCAATTGCAATTGCATTACTCATGTTTTCAACCGAGGAGGTCGATGTTCTCAATTCGGTTCCACTTCCTTTTATGTTTTTAGGGTTTCGTACCCAAAGGGTGAAACGGGACCCTATCACTAAGACTCCGCTGTCTGTCTGTCTGTCCGTCTGTCACCAGGCTGTATCTCATGAACCGTAATTGTTAGACAGTTGTAATTTACGCAGATTATCTATTTATGTTGCCGCTATAACAACAAATACTAAAAAACAGAATTAAAAAAAAATATTTGTATATTGAAAATGTAAAAAATATTTGATTTTTTCCTCGTTTTTATAGATAATGGTACGGAATCCTCCATGCGCGAGTCCGACTCGCACTTGACCAGTTTTTTTCCCCAGAAATACATTATTTATTAACCGATTTCAGAAATTCTTTTTGCATTGTGTTAGTATTCATTTTATCGGTAACGGACATATGACACCGTAGACACCCCAGGGAACTAAACAAAATGTTTTTTATATATTTTGTTATATATTTAACTGTAATCTCTTAATTGCACAATTATTATCCTAACCCAAAAACTTTAGGCCATGATAATTACTAAGATCTGAATTACAAGATAAATACGGGTACTATCATACATTATAATATACCGGGACTTGTAAGTTAAGGAATGTCTTTACCTACTGTAGAAATTAACTGTCGTGCTGGCAAATCCTGAAGCAAATCTTTGGATCAAATACATTTGCCAAGCAGGAATCGAACCTACTACTCGTATAGCTTATGCTTAAAGCTGGGCAACTGATAATCGATACCTTATACCACGAGTATATGCTGCTAACTAGCAGCATATATTGTATTCTTAAGCAACGTTCGCTCACGTGTACTGAGAAAATAGCTTATGTCATATTCCCTTTATTCAAGACATCTGATATGAGGGCCACAGTTGTCTTTTATATTAAAAACGACAGAAAATATAACAAAGGAGTTATCGTTTTATTTTAAAATAACCGCATTCAGTAGATAAGTTATTTAAATCTTCGTTATATTATTTGCAACACGGGAATCGAAAGCTGACTATTTTGTTTACCTTTTCATAAGTTCTTGCAAATTGAGGATAAAAATCAAGCTTAAATTCAATACTTATAAATACATTGTTTAGGCAGATGAGTAATATAACATTAAAAATGTTATATTACCGATCTTCATATGTAATCTTCAGAAACTTGCCATGTTTTAATATGTGATTATGCTATTAAATGAATGAACGAAAAATACGTAACATGTTTACCATTAGCCAAATGTAATTAGTTTTCAAGTCAGACTCGCACCGGCTAAAACTCCCACTATAGTTCACCTATGGCAAATAAAGGCCAGGGCATGGGAACAGTTTCGCAAATTTCCGTGACCCCAGCGGTGGGTCCCTTACTTCTCGGGGAATCCAGTGATAATAACCCCCTCTGAAATTCTTTTGATGTTACGTGTGATCATGAAGCCGTTACCAGGTCCTCGACTTGCTTACTCGTTTATCATATCCTCCGAAACTCGAACTATTTTTAATTATATATATTAACTAGATATAATAAATTCTTATTTTTTTTAAATATCCTATTTCAGTACTAGTGATCTATAATTTTAGTCTAGCTATCTTTATCAAAAAGAAGACCGATAATGCTGCAATTACTTTCACTAGCGAACGACTTCATAAAGTGAATGTCATTTCTTTGATAGAACTAAAATATAGAAACTTCTGAAAGCAAAAATGTTAACTTTTCTTGATTTAATAAAGTTCAAGCGAAAATGAAATGATTGTATTTGGTTAAGTAACGTCATAATTGTCAACTGTAGAAGAAAATGTAAACAATGAGTTCTCTATAATTGTATCACTTTATTTTTGAACAGTTCGCGTGATTCTTGATGAAACGCTTAATGCTCACCAAGCAGGCTCCTTGAAATAAAATTCACATGTAAACTAACGTCATTCCTACGCAATCCAACTAATAAATAGTACAGTTAATGTTGCGATAAAAATAATAACTCTTTCCAGATTTCCAGAGCGCCGGCCGACCGCAAAAAAAATCTCACTGCACGGGGAAAAAATACCCTGGATCGCTTCCAAACGTTGTGACACTTTGGATCGTGTAAAAATAGAATCATATTTTCGTAGAGCCTACGAGGAAATAGCGAAAATACGTACGAGGACGACTGGCGGTAAATGAAAATAAAACAACTGATATAGAAGCTGACATCAATGTGTCCCAAATGGGGTGAAATATTTCAAGCGAATGAAGTTGTGATCGCGAAGTTACGGACGTTGGAAGGCGGCGATGGTGGAAATGGCGGGAGATATGAATCTGTGTGTGCTGGTGAGGTTGCTTGTCATACAGACTTTGATCGGGACCAGCTTGGAGATCATCGAGTCGAGTGAGTACTTTAGGTGTTGCTGTTTTGTGCTGACGTAAATGAATTAAAAGTTTTTACTTAAACGTTACATTAGCTGTAAACTCGTTATGTTTAAATAATAACTAAGCGGCTGAGCATGAATTTTAATGCGTGAGGTTCAGCTCGACTCGGTGAGTACCACGGCGACAGGGAAGGCTAGTGTAAAGTATATATTTTATTCACCTTAAAGCATTAAATCCGTTGATTGAAACTATAGGCCTATCCATCCTTGAGGTCGGAAAACACAAACTGAAAATATCTTTATTCAAGAAGTCGCTTGCGCGTTCTTAAGAAACTTCGAATTTTACACAAAAACTGATATAAGTTCGTAAGTTAGTAACCACCGGTTTGGAAAGCAGTTTCTGTTGAGACCGGCAAGAAACTCAACAGTTGATATTATTTAAAAATATCAATTTGCAATATGACATAGTGCAGGTATAGTAGTCTTGTTTAGCTTAAGTAAGTATCAAGAGTTTTAATTCCACACATTGGCGTTGTCAAAACACACCCACAGTGAGAATTTATTATCATATAAACCACTTGATATTATGACCCTTATCTGCAGATCATATAAAATGTGTGTAACATTGTATTTGCTTAGTATTTAGTGTCGCTATCGCTGCTTTAAGTTGTACTTCTTAACGTTATTTAGGCACACGAAATCGTTCCTCCCTTCTAAGGATTCTTTATAATGATGTTATAAATTTCGATATCACTATAAATGAAAATTCTTCCTTTACAGCTTTTTAGTGTGCTGCGAATACCGAACATTATTTGTTTTTTGTTGTTTGTTTGTTTTACATAACGGCTTCGTTGTGGCAGTTATTACAATTAGAGAACTTTTGGTTTCAAAGCGACCGATGCATATTAGGGACTATTATTTGTTTGCCCCTAGATAATTGATCAGATGTTTATATACAATTTTAGTTTTTATATTACCCTTTATAAGTTGTATATTATTTAAATATAAGTGTATATTCTATATAACCCACTACAAGAGGACCATTTAAAGTGGCTTTTGTGTGGCTTAATATAAGGCAATCATTGTGATTTTGGTTTACAAAGTACTTCAGCCAGTAACAAGAATGAATTTTCGTATGTATTTATTAAATTGCAAGAAGGATACATACATGTTGAGAATAACATATATTAAAACTTACTCGTAGAATAAGGTCCGGTATCCGCCGGGGAATCTAATAGTCTATCAATAAAATCCGCAATAAAATCATATTTCTACTGTAAATATTGTGTTTTCCTTCATATTTTGATTCGAAATATAAAAAAAATTATAGTGCGTGGTTGACGGTAAGACTTGTACGGTATAAACGTTTTTGACCGTACTATGGTGGTATGTTTTCGGGTATACTTCGTTTGGAATAATTACTGATAAATATGATATTAAATCCAGTTATTGCAACTTATTCCAAATAAATGCCCTACTCGGTACAAACTAAATGTTCACTATTGAGGAATATCGTAACAGAACGAAAACGGCATCCAGTTTCGACAAATCATTTTCTACTTTTCACAAATTGTGTAGAATGTATTGCTGTGAAGTACACTACTCTTCGGAACTAACAATGAGTGAATAGAATTTTAATGTTTGAGCGTTTTGAATGAATCGTCTATTGCTGGTCGCCTCCAGCGTTTCCATGAAACAAAATGAGTTCTCGATACTTTATAACAGTTTCTTTATACCGTAACGATGTACGTATAAACGTAATTGTTTGTATGATTACTGTTTGAAATGTTCTTTGATAAATTAAAGGTTTTAAAAAACTTGACTAAGGCAATGCCTTTTAATCAATTAATTAAATTATCATCAAATTGTTTGAATAAAACTTTAATTTACACCAACCATTCCCCCACAAGCGATTTAATTTCCTTAAACTCCTGGCTGGTTATCAAACCATAACAGGACGTACGGTGGCAGAATACCGAGTCTACTTAACACTTTAGACGATCTTGATCATAATACTTAACCTATTTCTCAATATGGATGTTACATAAACTATTAGATCATTTTTCATACCCTAGGAGTTAAAAGTTTCAATAATAAGACTACAAAATAAAAAGCACCTTTAGTATTGTTGAATATAGTATTATATAGTATATATAATGTTATATAGTATTATTGAAAAGTACCTCCCGTCGGAAAACACTACACCCACAGTTAGTGCAACAACAAACACACTAGTTCGCCCTCGCCTCCGAGCTCGGCGAGACCAACACAACGCGTACACAAGGTACACCCGCGTTCCGGGGCGGTTCTCACCGCTCCCAGCCACCGATTAGCTAATTGCACATCGCCGGCCATCGGAGTTTCGATCCGCACCGGGACCTCGATGGCCCTTGGATGACACACCAAACTTAATGGCACGCATGAGCACATGCGTGGCCCTACCCGTGGGTTCTGGTTAGCCCACCGGTTCTGCGTCAGGTGAAGCTTTAAAAGTCTCGGGACTGAAAGCAAAAACATCAGTTAATACAAGAATACAAGAGTACCTTTCAATTTTGAGCTCGGAATTGCCATTGCATTAAATAATTTGATGTACGTGTGTAACGCTTCTACATTCGTCAGATGAGCATTAAAAGTTGGCAACGCATCTGCAACCCTACGAGTGTTGCAAATGTCAATGAGTGGCGGTTATCACTTAACCGCCGTCATTAATTCATCCTGTTTAGGCCACTACTGGACATTGGCTTTTTTTCACATTTTTCTATTATTTCTTACACATTTTGTTTCCTGTGCGATTATTTTCTTAGCGCTATCAATACCAGAACTTGAATTCAAGTTACTAGAGTATAATGCACGTTATAAGAATCGGACACTCTACTTAGTTGTGGGACAAGATTATTTTATTGATATGTGACCCTATTGGCTACTCTATTGGCGTGAGCAGTAAATCTGCCTCATGCGCAAGAGGGTGTGTGTTCGATCCCCACTCCTGGATAAAAATGTGATTGATAAACATAGTTGTTTTCCTGTGTTGGCGTTTATGTATTTATTTATAGAATAAAAATATGTTTATGTATGTTTATCAGTTATGGGTACTAGTACCCACAGTATGTGCCCGAAAATATATATTTATTTATTTAATTGAAACTTTTGCACAAAAAATAAACATTCTCTCCCAGTCAACCTATGGGTATGGTATATATATATAATTAAATTTAAAATATATAACGTATATACATACACATATAAAACCATTATTTACTGACTTTAGTTTAAGCTTTGATTAGGAAAAGTCCTAGGAATAGTAACCGTTTCTTAAACATCTCCTCGTACAAGAATTGGAAAGACGGAAACTAGTCGATGCAAGGAAGGAGTGTGCATCCGACGTCACGGCATAATTTGCATGGCGATCGTGCTACCCACATGCGGATAGATTTTCGAATTAAACTCAACTGCGCCTCTGTGGCCGGTGTTTTTCATTCTGGCTCACGGCCAAATTGAATGGATGAACGTCGGGCGCTCCCGACACACGGCTCTGTCATATGCCTCGTAGATGACGGATCGTTAGTTTGATCAACAGTTCAGTTTAGATGAATGTTTTTAGTTGCTCCCCGCGAAAAAACTGGGACAGAGGTAGTAGTTATATGAATTTATTTCAGCCACTTGGTAAATTATTGGCGTGGTTAATGATTTGTGCAAACGCTACGTACATTTCAAATGTGACATTTTGAAAATAATTCAAATTACGAGAAAGAAAAAAACAGTCCACACATTTCCCAATTTTTTGAGATTGGCAGATTTCACATATTTCCGAAATGTTTTGTTTGTAATTATTTAGAAGATATGCAGGTTTCCTCAGAATGTTTTCCTTTACAGCTGCACATGAAATAAATCACCCAGTATCCCAAAGACGACGCCTATGAAATAATTAATCGCAATTTTAATTGCTGACCGCTTTCCACGGTTAAGAAGACATTAATTAAACATCGAAGAAAATAAACAGAGCGGCATTTCTAAGAAATTTGTACAAGAATAGTAAATAGTAGTCCGAACAAATTAGAAGTCTGACAATCCAAAGTGGGATTGCGTGACGTGTATTTTCCCAGGGGAGGCCGTTGCCCATTTGTGGCTCATGAAACAAATAGGGTGTTGCTTTTAGTAGAATATAATTATGTTTGGAATATGGATAAAATTGTATTATTATATTATGTTAAAATATTTTAGACAGACTGTTTTTATCATAAACATTTGTTTAAATGCTCATGCTAAATATCCTTACTTCCTTACTAATATTATAAACGCGAAAGTTTGTATGTATGGATGGATGTTTGTTACTCTTTCATGCAAATACTACTGAATGGATTTTAATGAAACTTTACAATAATAAACATTGTATATCAGAATAGCACATAGTCTATAATTTATAAACATATTATGTGAATTGTCCAAAATATAGGTAATGGTAAGTGTCAACTAAGCAGGAAAAAATTCAGCGGCCGCGCGGGCAAAGTCGCGGTTAACAGCTAGTAGTATAAAAGAAAAAAAAATGTAAAACATTTAAAAGTTGTAGTCCTTCCCATGTTCATGGTAAGGAAAAAGTCATAAATGATACGTTAGAAATAAACATTTTTATAAAACAAACGATCAAACCTCTAGGATCTAATGTCTCAGTTCCAAACGAATGGCCGAATGCGCCACATCTGGTGGATTTGGGGTAATTATATTTCAAGCATTCGCCGGAGCTACACCATGCACATTTTATTTATCTGGCTTAAGCGATGCAGCGGAATGGTACAATTGTAGGGTCTTATTTACCCGAAAGTATTAAGGCCATGAATCAAACGATAACCATTGGATTAGGAAGAAGCCGTTTTTCATAATTCAGATATTACTAAATCGCTGAATTTAAATTGAAGTGGAAATATAATTGTTTTAGTATTTTTTTTTATTTGAGAAGGTGGCAACGAGCCGGCGGTTCACCTGATGTTAAGTGATAACCGCCGCCCATGGACATTTACAACAT